ATCGTGGATGACCCCTAGCCTTCTGCATCACATACATGTCACCTGAGAGGCTAAGTCAACCCGAATGGAGTGGTCATCCAAGGGCAAGGATCCATTCTCCCCTGGCCTCCCTAACCTTGGTTCCCGTTGAGAAGCAGAAAGAAGAGCCCTTGCAGGAAATCTGGCCAAACATATCTGCATCTTTTCCTGCCTAGAAAATGTAATATAGTGAATGTAACTGAACTTAAGAAGAAAAGGGAAGCTGGCACGCCTTCAGGTTCTGAATGTTGCTCCTTCCTGTGCCCACAGCCCCTCGGACATCAGATGTGGGAGATGCAGCAATCAGCTTGGTGTGAACTGTGTACCTGTCCACGTTCCCCTCCCCCAAACACATACATTTGCCTAAAAATGAAATCTCATTTATAACCTTGCTCTTAAAAGCAGAGTTTGGGTGAGCAAGGACTTAGGGAAGAATAAACAGTCACTTTCTAAAAGGAAATGGTCCATAAAGTTATTATATATATAATTTCTACATTGATGTCCATTATAGTGAATGTTGTTACACTGGGGACAAAAAGAGCATTTACAGGCTTCCTGACTGGGTGATGGTAGTTGGGGAGGATGAAGACAAATCATGTTCAAAGGATTGGGAATAATAATAGCTTATAATCAGCAACCGAAGTTGATTAAAATAGACTTCTTATAACAGCAACCCTAGAAGTAAAAAGACCTTCCAAATATCGAAAGAAAGCAATTTCCAACATAGAACTCTACACCCAACCAAATATCAATCAAATTGCAAGAGGAGATTAGGGATATTTTCAGACATGCAAGGTATCAAAAATTTATCTTCCAGGTACTATTTCTGGATGTGAGTCACCAAACTGAGGGAATAAACTCTGGAAAAGAAAGACATAGAATATAGAAGAGAAGACAAGGGCATTCCCCAAACGATGGCAAATTCAGGCAGCAGTGTGCCAGCTGGGCCCTGGCGAGGGAAGGCATCCATCAGCCCTGGCTGCGGGGATGTGGCTGGAGGGACACGTGGAGGAGCGTCATCAAGATGCCTTCTGCTCTTGGACCATGTTTTTACCCTGAAAATGCCTGCATGAGCATGGCCCAGGTGCTTACCAGTACCCAGTCGGCCAGTGCCCTGCCCAATGAAAACCCTGTCCCATCTCTGTGCCCTGTCACATGCATCGACTGAGATTCCTCATGTCACCCCAGAGACGTTCTTCACTGACCTACTGATCCTGAGAGCTGGAGTTGGCCGTGGTGAGCTCAGAAGCAGAAAACGTGGAGCTAGGTATTCTCCTGATAGAATTTCTAGCAGGTGGCAGTGCCTGGGCCATGTCACAGACCAGCTGAGGACCTAACCACAGGCCTGTGTCATGGCCTTGCCCACAGCCTTCCACACACGGCAATAAGAGGACTCATAGGTGGAAGCCATCGTAGTTATAAAGTAGCCATTCCGGTTCTTTCTTTCCTAGACCCTTCTCTAACAGGGGTAATTCTACTTCTTTTCCTTCTACAGCTAGGAGTGGGCTTGCTTCTGAATTTTTATAGCCATCACTTTTTACAATCATTTATATGTAAAAAGTAATTAATAAAATATATGATTGAGAAAAATAGAAGGAAAAGAAAAATTAAAGTCATAAAGGGTATTAGAATCAGGGGTACAGCTTTAGAAACAGAACACTGATGTTTAAATAATGTGCACAGTTCTGTTGAAAGTGCTTTCAATTATGAAAGTATGTGACCTGGGCCTAGAAGGCGGTTTTGGAAAATCAATAGTTTTGTAAGAATGGCAGGAACATTGGTGATTGCTTTTAATGTTCTTTAAATTTGTGGTTAGGTCATTTTTGCAATTGAGAAAATAGTACAAATGCATCTTGTTGCTCTATAAATAGCCATAATAGCTATGAATAGTGACAGCCTACACTTTTAAGATGTTCCCAAAAGCTGGTGCCATAATATGTATTTATACCTACTGTCTCCACCGTCCCTCCTCCCACTCTCTCTTGAATCCACTGTGCCACTAAGGTAGTTTTTTCAAGATCACCACAATCCACAGTCCAGTGCTTAATTTTCAGTCATCATTGTATGTACCTTAGCAGCACTATTTGGCACAGCTTACCCCTCCTTTGTATTTGAATGCTTATCTGTAAATATTTTGGTATGTAGATCTAAAATAGAATATCCCACTAATAGCAATGTAACATAAATTAGAATACATCTAAAATAATAGTAATTTCTCAATATCACCAAATATCTAGTTGGTGTTTTTCCAATTGTCTCACAGACGTTGTAATTATTTTTCAGTTTGGTTGAGTCAGGATCTAAATAAAGTTTACACACAATGATTGGTTGGTGCATCCTTAAATTTCTTTTCAGTCTGTATGTCCCTGCTCCTTCTTTTTTCTTCTTATTCAATTTCTTAATGAATAAATGCAATGATGTTTCCAATGCCTCCTTTCTTTTTATATCCCTCTCTTCTCTTGGCTTCTGAGATGCAAGTCTCTCCTGGCTCCTCTTACCCCACTGGTCATGCCTCTTAGTCTCTGTCACTCGTGCTCCTGGGTCACTGTCCCTGAACGCTGGCATCATCAGTGTTCCATCCTCAGCTTTCTTTCCTGCTCATCCACGTTGATCCCAGGTACTCTCATCCAGTCTGAGGACTTTAAGTATCATCAAAATGGTGATGATTCTCAAGCATTCTTACATCTGGTTATTTTTTACATCATCTACAACTCCTTACCTAATAGACATCTCCAACTTAACAGCTCCCATAATGAATTCTTATTTGTCCCCCAAATCTCCTGCCACCAACTTTCTTCCCCAAAGTAAATGACAACTAAACCTTTTCAGTTTTCTGAGGCCAGAATCGTAGTTCTCCCTACATCTCTTGTTCTCACACTCCCGTCTAATCCAGAAGCAAATCTTTTCACCTTCATTCACCTTCATGCAGACTCACCCCCGAGCCCTACCTCCATCACTAGGACCTGGATCTGAACCACTATCCTCTCCTACTCAGATTATTGAAACTGCCACCTAATTGGTTTCCTTGCTTCTACCCCTTCTCTCCATCAGTTTATTCTCCCCAAAGTAGCTGGAGTAGTCCCTTTCAAATGTAAGTTCTTCTACTCAAAACTCCCCATTTTATTCAGGGTGAAAGCCAAAGTCCTTACAACGCTACCTCGCCCGCCGATGTCACCCCATTCACACAGCCTCTCTGCTGTTTCTTAGATGTGAAAAGCACACTTTGATCTCAGGATTTCAGGCTTTCTGTTCCTTGGAACCCTTCCCCCATTTACATGCATGGCTTGTCACCTCCCTTTCCCGTGGTTGGTGCCCAAGGGTCTATCAGTAAGGCCTGCTCTACGCTCCTGACCCCTTTACTTTTTTTTTTTATTTTTTATCCTCACCCGAGGACATTTTTTCCATTTTTTGTTCAGATAGAGCGGGAGGGAGAGAGGAAGAGAGAGAGAGAAACATCGATGTGAAGGGACACATCTAGTGGCTGCCACCTGCACGACCAACCAGGGCCGGGGACAAACTGCAACCGAGGTACATGCCCTTAGCGGGAACCGAACCCGGGTCTCTCTGTGCCACAGGCCGACGCTCCAACCACTGAGCCAAACCGGCCAGGGCCTGACCCCTTTACTTTTATTTATCCTCCAACATACACCGTACTCCTTTTCTTCGTAGCACATATCACTTTCTAACATATGATTTGCTTATGTGTTTGTCTTTTCTATTAGATTGTAGTTTGAGAAGCTATTTTGTTCACTGCTGTATCCTCAGCGCCTGAAATAGCATGAAGCAGGTACTCAACGACTATTGGCTGGATAAACAAAAGAATGTGTGCATTAGAACTATAGGAAAAGTGGTTCTTCAGATGTCACCATTCAGTACCTTGAAAGCTTTAGAGGGAAAAGAGAAGAAAAAAAAAGTTAGGGTATTATTTCCTGTATAAAAATCTTATGTCACTCTCCTGAGAGTCATCAGAGGTGGACACCTAGAGATTACTAGAACTGGAGGTGCCCAGCATCTTCTGGAGGTGCCATCTGCTTCACCTCCGAATGCAAGGTCTTGCAGATGTTTTTAAAGATGGACTTCATCTATTTCACCTAAACCATGCGATTTTACCCCTAGACAACCTCTCCTTCCCATGAAATGTTGAAGATTAAAAAACTCTATTCAATAGCAATTGGCCTAAATGGTATTGGAGTATTGAAGATTACAAAGACAGGGAAGGAGGTGTGCAGAAAATCCTCTTCTCATTCAACCAATGACCCCGTGAAGAACTCACCCTTCCCCATTCCTGGCTCACTGCTATTTTAATTGAAGAACAACGCCTAAAGGAATAAGAGGCACTTATAGTCTTTATGGCCTCTAAAAACTACCTTCATTTGTGATAGAAATGACAGATGCTGAAATAACACTTTCCTCTCGAGAAATTCATGCTTTCATCGCCACTACAGCTGTAAGAATGGATGTGACTGTCACTCTCCACGGCATCTTGAGGAAGAAGGCAAAAGATTTGAGAGTAGATAGAGGGGAGAGAAAGTCATGCCCAGTTTCCCTTCTTGGTCTTTAGTCATTCTTCTTCCCTCGATGGAATGTACACACACACGCACGCACACATGCACACATACCCCCACACATACAATTTGTGGGAAAACAAACTCAATGCCCCCCTTATCAAGGGAGGAGGATGTGACAGAGATATTATGATGCAACGGCTACCTGTGAAGGCCACTGGTAACATTGTGAGGTCAGAATTTTACTGAAATGTTTGCCCATGTGACACACATTAGACCTCAGTCAGGTTCCTCCCAGCCAACACCCTAATGGCCACTCGTACTCTTCCTTCCCACGGAATGGGATTTTAAGAGCAAAGGAATGAGACCGAGGGCAACTGAGACAGCAGGAAGGCAATGTAAGAGTTGGGAGGTTTTCCAAGCTGGCATATTTGCATTATTTTTCTCTGTACAAAGGAAAGGTTTCCCTGTGTTCCAATGGACTCCATGGAGGAAAAGCATGTCAACACCGCACTTCAGATAAGCAATTTCAAGGTAGCCCTAAATGGGTTTGAAAAACTGGTTGAACGCACAGCGGCCCAGAAAAGAGATGAAAGAGCAGGCTTGTTTGTCCAGAAAGAAGGTGAGATCCGTGATCCAGTCGAGTCTGTTGATTAGAAATGGGAAATGCTTTAAGCCACCAGAGAGAGGTAATGTGGCTTGAGAGCAAAGACACTATTTAAAAGGGGGCCTGAGTCCTCCTGACTTAGTCCCTAAATAGTGAAGTCGTCTGGGGGAAGATTTTGTTTGTTGTTTGTGTTTCCTTAGTTTATCTTTATTGCTGACAGTATTACAGATGTCCCTCTGTTTTTCCATTGACCCCCTCCTCCTCACTCCCCCTGCCCTTCACCACACTATTGACTGTGTCCATCGGTTATGCTTATATGCATACAAATTATTTGGTTTATCTCTTCCTGCCCCAACTCCACACCCCACCCCTTTCCTCCGAGGTTCCTCAATCTGTTTCTTATCGTTTTTTTTTTCACTTGTCTGAACCTTAATTGTCTGAACCTTAATTGTCTCAAGTGTAAAGTTAGGGGGTTGAAATGACAGCTAAGGGTTCTCCTGCAGGGTCTACCATCTGATGGCTCACTGGTTGATCTGGGACTCGGTAGTACATGTAAGCCACCCTGCCATCACCTTAACATTTTTTTTTTTTAATTTTTATTTATTGATTTTAGAGTGGAGAGAGAGAGAGAGAGAGAGAGAGAGAGAGAGAGAGAGAAATATCAATTTGTTGTTTTACTTATTTACGTAGTCGTTGGTTGATTCTTGTATGTGTCTTGACGGGAGATTGAACCTGCAATCTTGGCGTATCTGGATGATGCTCTAACCAACTGAGCTACCTGGCCAGGGCCTACCTGCCATCTCTTTACTTAAAGGTGTCATGAGAGCATAGAGACTTTCCTCTGGGCCTCTCCCTGTGTCTCTAGGCTGGAATGATTTTGAGCTGTTGACTTCAGGTGTTCAAGCCCAAACTAATATTATTTGAATAGTACTTACAAATTTATAAGTCACTTTAGTAAATATAATGTAATTGATTCTCGTGAAAATTCTAATAGACAAATATTACTATTATTGCCATTATCCCAATTTTATTTGTTAAGAAATGAGAGATACAGATCATTCATCTGTCCAAGGCACTCAACTTCCAGGTGTTAGAGCTAAGACTCAGACTAAGGTGGTTGTGAACTTGGCTGGGTTTTCTAAACTACTCAACAAAACTTCCACCTTCCCAGTCCGTTTGTTTTACCTCTCCCTGTAGTGGATTTTCCTAACCTTACCACTTTTCCTGCATCCTCTATGGGATACCAGCTCCTCTCAGCCAAGCTTCCAATGTCGAGAGAAAACAAGACTAAAAGACAAGAATTCTCTCAAACTCCCTTCCCTCCCAAAGCACCACCCGCCCTTTCTGCCACCCTATTCCCCTCCAAGGGTATCACTTTGCTGCAACGTCAAAATCTCTGTTTTCACTGGCTTTGTCCTCTCGAACTAAAAATACCTCCAACCATCCCCACCTTAACTTCCTCTTCCCTTTAAGCTATTACAGTATATCTTTCCTTTGCTTCTCCCAGGTTTCTCCAAGGCACCACCACTTGATTTTCAATCTACTCAGGTCTGGCGTTCCTCATGAGTTCTCTGAAGTGCTTTTCCCGGGGTATTTGATCATCTAATATGGCTGCCAAATCCAATAAATTCTTTTCATTTTCCAGCTTACTGGCTGTTTCACTGCATTGACAGTTAACTACCCTGGCTTCCAGAAACTTCCTCCCTCTGTGTCTCTCATCGTACCAGTCTTTTCTTTTTCTCTTTCTCATTCTTTCTTTGCTTCTCTTTCCTTGAGCTTTGCCTGTCTTTTCTCTCAGTCTTAGAGCCCAGATGCCATCTGCATGGTCTCCTAAGCCAGGTACCTTGGTAAAGCTTTTGACTATTGCATGGTTTTTCACTTGGGTTATTACAACAGCCTCTCAATAGAATGGTCTCCTTGCCAAAAGTTATATCCTTCCTCTATGTTTCTGCTGAGAGTGTTTCCTTTAAAAGATTTTTAAATAGCCATTTTCCTGGCTTATCAGTTCACCTCTAAAATCCATACACATTAACTTGGCATCCAGGGCTATTCAGTCGTGCCTCAACCTCCCTTTCTGGCCTCGGTTCCTGGAACTTCCCATCAAGCATCTTCTTCCCTGACATGAACTTTTCGGCATCTCCAGGAATTTCTGCTTTTATAGACTGACTTTGCACATCATTGCCCCCATGTGGGGTGCCTTTCCTCCTCTTTCTGTACCAGTAAACTATTGCTTCTCTTTCAAGACCTGAATTAAATGTCATCTCCACTTAAAACGTCCAATCTTTCCCCAAGCAAAGTCATCTTTAGCACTCAGGGCACTGTCCTGCCACTTCGGGGAATTCACCTGCTGAGATCGCCATCATGTGTGCGCCCTGCTCCTTCCCCCTCATCGAGCCGGGCATGCGGCGAAGGCTCTGTAGCCCAGGGCTAGCCCAGAGTCTGGTGTCCAGGAAGTACTGTACTCCTACAACGTGGGCTGAATGAACAGGCGAAACTTGCTTTCATTTAAAAGCTTGCAATCACAAAGCCATATTGAATTTTTTTCTTCCTTTGTAGTATTTGTGTGTGTGTGTGTGTGTACACATATATGTTCCTTTTAATATATGTACATATACACACAGAGAGAAAGAATATATATTATAGGTATCAATTTTATATAATATTATACTATAGTACACATTTTATAGAGAATATAGATTTGATAAAGACTAAGTACTACTAGATAAATTACCTGAGTGTTATTCTAGAACAGGGTTTCTCAGCCTTGGACTACTGACATTTGGGCTGGATAATTCTTTGTTCTATGTATGTATGAATGTGTGTGTGTGTGTGAACACACGCACATGCATGTGTGTATGTGTGTGCACATGCATATGCATATGTGTGTATGTGTATGTGGAGGGGCTGTCCTGTACATTGCAGGATGTTTAGCAGCATCTCTGCCCTGTACACCCTAGATGCCAGTAGCATCCCAGCCCTAGTTGTAACGATCAAAAATGACTGCAGACATTGCCACCTGTCCCCGTGGAAGAGAGGGAGAAGGTCCCCCCTGGACGTGAACAGTTGCCCTAGATCCCCGCCTTCCTTCACTCAGCTGTCCTGCTGCAGCAACTCCCAAGCCCCTAGCAAGTCTTTGCGACTCTACTTCCAGCCACTTCTCGCCATCTCAGCACCATCTCCTGGGTGCCTGTCCCACTCACATCCAGTTGAGGGCACTTTGGGGAGTGAAAGGGGTTGTTATTAGTAATTAAATTGAGGAACTAGGTGTGGATGAGACTTTCCATGGCAACCAGTATGTATGATCACCCGCTGGACTACCCTGGCCTAAGCCTGCATGGTCGGGAACCCCAATAATACACCAGCCCCTGAAGGGGGGGCTTCCACTCATCTCTCACAGCAGCCACTGTGCTTTCAAAAAATTTTAAATCAACTCATATCATTTTCCTGCAAAAAACACTGAAGAGATAGCTTATCATCATGCTCCAAATAAAATGCAAACTTCTGCCCTGGCCGGTTTGGCTCAGCAATTGGAGCGTCGGCCTGCGGTCCGGAGAGACCCGGGTTCGGTTCCCGCTAAGGGCACGTACTTCGGTTGCAGTTTGTCCCCGGCCCTGGTTGGTCGTGTGGGTGGCAGCCACTCGATGTGTCCCTTCACATCGATGTTTCTCTCTCTCTCTCTTCCTCTCTCTCCCTCCTGCTCTATCTGAACAAAAAGTGGAAAAATGTCCTCGGGTGAGGATAAAAAAACAAAACAAAAGAAAAAACAAAATTCAAACTTCTGACTCAAGCCCTGTCCTCCTCCTCTGATCTAACCTCACAGCGCGATCTGGGGTCCCCACCTTACCCCACACTCACTGACCTCCCAGAATATGCCAGGCTCTCGCCAGTCTTGCGTCGCTGTGTTCGTCAGCCCCTGCCTAAATGCTCCTGTCTCACTTTACACAAGGCTGAATCCTTCCTGCTTCTCAGGTCTTGGCTTAATTCCCCCCATGTTTTCGGGCAGGGCGTGCCTGAGGCCACCTCCACCCACCACCACTCTCTTAAGCACTCCCCACTGCATGTCACAGGTCCCTACTGGTTTCCTTCCTAGCACGTGTCTCATGCTCTAAGTAATGAGTTTTACCTTGTTACTAAGGTATGACATGCATACAGTGAAGCCCATAAAATGCACTAATCGGAAGTATATAGCTCAATAAATTTGGACATTGGTCAACAAACCTGTATCTACCAAACAGATCAAGACAAAGACCATTTCTAGCATCCCAGAAAGTTCCCTCATGCCCTTCTCAACTTAACGCAGATTAGCCACTAATCTACTGCCTATTGGCAGTGGTCTTCGTGTCACAGTCTGTAAATATTTGATTGTTTCCCTGTTAATTTTGTTTCTCGCACTAGAATGTCAGCATCTAGCTCAGTTCTGACACATAGCAGATATTCAGGACATTTTTGTGTCTAAGTCTTTCTTGTCCTCAGACTCAATAGTCATACCCCAGTGAATCATCAAATTTGGCAAAATCAATATTCAAGAAATGGTGTGTTTGTGTGCTTACAATGTCAAAGAACCAATCAAGAATTGTTTTTTGCTAACTCAAGCTGAACTCGAGCAAAGACTCCTGATTGATAAAACTTTTCACAGTAAAAAGAAGTGTCTCACTTTCTTATCTTTGTATTCCTGAACAAAACTCCTAAAATAGTTGCAACAAAAGCTATGGACGAGGTATTAAACACCAAAGTAAAATATTTTCTAAGTAACCTTTTAGCTAAGTCCCTAGTTATATTTCCAATGGGGGGGAAAAAACTTTACAATGCAAAAGAACCTGGTTTTTGTAGGCTGAAATGATGAAATAGATTAGTGAATAGAAGAGGCAGCTACAAAACGCAATGTAGTCCTTGGGGTTTGATGACTGTGCTTGCACTTTGTTACAATGCAGATATGATTGATTACGAGAAGTTTTATGCAGCAGTGCAGGAACTGTTTGGTCCAGAAGTGAAGAATCATGATGTGAAATGCTTTTACAGGAAACTCTGCAACAACCCTGATGTGCCTCCAGACTGGTGTGAGGTAGTCATTCTTCATGTTTATAGTATGAAATGCACGTATTCTTTTTCTTTGTTTAGAATAAATAATTAAATCAAAGTGTTACTCCCATAGGGGGTAAACATAGAGTGTGGTGGTAGGTTTAAATGTCTACACCTGTACAGAGGGGGCATTGCCCATAACTAAAAGTGGGTAAAGCAGATGGATATTTAATTGCATTATTATTGAGTAACTCTTAAATACTTCTAGTGCAAGTTGCCCTTTGGAAGAACTTTACATACTATTAACAACAGCTAAGATTTTAATGATCTTCTTTGCATTCTAAATGAAATATTCCTTTTCAATAGTGTCAATGTATACACTTATTTGTGTATCAAATTCTCAATATAAGAGAAGAAAAGGTGATAGTGACCGCCTCTTCCATTTTCTGAGTCATTTTCTGACTATCACAGAACCGATTCCTTAGCTATCACCCTGGTGTTCTTGGAAGAACACGCAGAAGCATGTTTGGTAGTTAAGTGGACTATGGAAATGGAGAGAAAATGCCTCTGACCTTTGTTTAAACACACAGAAGACCAGACTGTAGATTTATTTATAAATGAGATTCTTATTCTAAAAGGATTTGTAGTAGCTTATGATTAAAAACTTGCATACATGCATACATAGTAATTAAAATGATTTTTAAAATTCTCAGGCTCTTTCTTAAAAAATCAGTAGTATAGTAGACAAAAGAAAAAGTAAGGATTTAAGAGATTTGACTATAACATTTAGTCAGTTGGTAGATATGTATAAAGAGAACTTTGGACCCAAGATACAGAACAAATACATCTCAACTACATATAAGGACCATCACAAGATTCACCGTGTGTAAGATTAAAAAGAATATTTCAATAAATTCCAACATAACAAAATTAGAAACTAATAAGAAAGATAGCCCAAATTCCCAAAAGCAAACAAATAAAAAATAATTCTATAAAACAATTGCAAACTAAAAGAGCTTCTATTAAGCCTTTACATTTTTTCTACAACCTAGGAAAGCTGAAAAGCTACCCAATCCATTTTAAAAGGCTAAAATAACACTGAATTGAATGAAGATAAAATGTCAGGGAATTATAAGCCAATATTACTTATGAATATAAATGCTAAACTTTGAAATAAAATTTTAACAAGTTGAATCCAGCAATGCATTACAAAGTCATTTCTAAGTAGTATTTACTCAGAAAAGTAAGGATGATTCATACTAGAAACCCAATAACATATTTAACAAGTTAGGGAAGAAAAAATAATTTGATAACCTTAGTCAGAGAACAACAAACTGAAGTCCACGGGCTAAATCTAGATAGCCATTTGTTTGGCTTACTGCTTGGTTGACTGAATTTTAGAGAGAGAAACATCGATTTGTTGTTTCACTTGCTTATACATTCATTGGTTGATTCTTGCATGTGCCATGACTGGGGATCGAACCCACAACCTTGGCTTATCGGGATGCCACTCTAAGCAGTTGAGCTACCTGGCCAGGCCACAGCCATTTGATCTGTAACAGTTTATTGGAACACAGCAGTAGTGCTCACTCATTATGTGTTGCCTACGGTTGCTTCTGCGCCATAACAGCAAATTGAATAGTTGTAACAAAGACTAAATGTCCTGCAAGCCTAAAATATTTACTACTTGACCCTTTTCAGAAAAAGTCTGCTGACTTTTGATCTTAAAATAATATACAAATAAACCATGGCCAGTGTGGCTCAGTTGGTTGGGCGTTGTCCCGTGCACCCAAAGGTTGGCAGTTCAATTTTGGTGAGGGCACATGCCCCAGTGGCGGGCTCGATCCTTGGTGTGCATGAGGTGTGCAGGAGGCAGTTGATCCATGTTTGTGTCTCACATTGATGCTTCTCTCTCCCTCCTCCTTTCTCTAAAAACCAATAAGTTATTCTTTTTTTTAAAAAGGGATGTCTGTTAGCACCACTACCCTTCAACATTTTATTGAAGGTTGTAAACAAAGCAAGCAAACAAAAACAGAAAAAGGAAAGGAAGTGATATGTAATAAACCATTAAAATGCAAACTTATCATTATTTGTAGTTGTCTACCAAGAATATTCAGAATTTCATGGCAGACTAAGGAGAGAATTCAAAGAAGATAAACATGCAACAATCAATAACTTTCACAAACAATAATCAATACCCCCTGTGCGCACACGCACACACACACACACACACACACACACACACAAGTAACAGGAAAAAAAAGATTCCACTCACAAGAGCAACAAATAAAATAAAAAATATGACATCAATCTTTTTTTTTTTTCCTCACCCGAGGACATTTTTCCATTTTGTTGTTCAGGTAGAGTGGGGGGGGGAGAGAGAGGAACAGAGAGAGAGAGAGAGAGAAACATCGACGTGAAGGGACACATCGAGTGGCTGCCACCCACACAACCGACCAGGGCCGGGGACAAACTGCAACTGAGGTACGTGCCCTTAGCGGGAACCGAACCCTTGTCTCTCCAGACCGCAGGCCAACGCTCTAACCGCTGAGCCAAACTGGCCAGGGCGACATCAATCTTTTAAGGAACATACAAGGCTATGAAACTGGACTGAAGGATTGAGAGACAATCTGGAGAATAACTGAGAGACTCAATTTGCAAAGATCCTACCTGTCCCCAAATTAGCTTATACATTTAATAGAATTCCAATGAAATAGATTTTTGAAATTAATGCAGATATAACTAATAGAAACCCTGACACAACAGTAATTGAATTTTAATACATCCTATGTCTTCTTGATAATTCTTATAAATATTTCAGGCTGCTTGTAGAAATTGAAAGCTGTTCTCATAAACTGCTGGTGAATTCTCACAAAGCCCTGGACACCTACACTGTAGCATGAGGATTCTACTGGGGAGCATATTTCTAAAGCACGTTCATTTTTGCAAGATGTGAAAATTAAAACTATGATTTTCACTCAGATCTTTACTTGATTATACCATCAAAAGTGAAAAATATGAAAGCACAACGTATATGAAAACATCTAATCCAGATAAAGATAGAACTAGAAAGGGGTTACTGGAGTACCAGGTCCATGCAGCAAAGATCATTCTGATTGCCAAGCTGACTACTTTTCCTTGTCCTTCTCTTTCTTTCTTTCTTTCTTTCTTTCTTTCTTTCTTTCTTTCTTTCTTTCTTTCTTTCTTTCTTTCTTTCTCTCTTTCTGTCTTTCTTTCTTTCATGACATTTCTTGGGTTCCTATAAATCATATGCAAGTTTTATAGAAAAACTTAGGCTGAATGTCTGACACTCTGCATGTATTTGAAGAATCATTTGCGGGGTTTTTTTTTCCTCATTAAACTTTGTTTTAATGGGTCTCAAAATTCTGTGACAGATTTTTGGTCAAGTTGTTTCCATTAAAAAGTACTGATTTTAAAAACTAATAACTTAGAAACTGCAACACACACACACACAAAAACAAGTGGTCCACAAAACATTCTCCTTTCCTTCAGAAGGTCTTACCGTGCATTGTAATCATTAACCAGTCTTTTACTATTAAACTTAAATGGCCACTTGAGACAAACAGTTCTGAGACCGTTCGCCCACCACTGATTAAGACTGGGGTGGCAGGCATTGGGGATAATATTCATTTAGCCTTCTGAGCTTTCTGAGCAGACTTGGTGACTCTCCCAGCTCCAGCCGCCTTCTTGTCCACTGCTTTGACGACACCCACAGCAACTGTCTGTCTCATGTCACGAACAGCAAAGCGGCCCAGAGGGGGATAGTCAGAAAAGCTCTCAACACACATTTAAATTTTTTTAAAAAGTTTCCTTACAAACTCTCTGTGCCAATGCTCCTAAGAGGCATTTCTATTTCAAGTCGTGGGACCTCACCTTCCTGGGCTTCAGATTTGTCATCAGTAAATCATAAAAAGGAAATTCAGTGCTGGAAGAGTAACTGCATCTCAGGATGAATTAGCTGCTCCTGATCAGCCGTTAGAAGGCAGGTAATAAGAGTTAGGTTTGCTCTTTTGAAGCTAGCACACGGTGCAAGCCGACTCTCAATGTAAATCTTCACGGTAACGATGGCATGACATGCGCACTATCTCTTCCTCGGTTTCAGATACAGGTGAGCTTGGGAAAACTGACATTTGTAAAATAACGAAACTTAGCTCTCAATGAATACATCATCGAGATCTGCCCCTTTAATTTATAATGAGAAACACTAGAAATAAAGGATCTATAGAAATGTGATGGTCTTAAATTTATAAAGCTAGTTAGTGGGAAATTCTGGTACAGTTATAATATACTTTTGCTACAAGACCATGTTAGTCTATGTTTCCAGTAGGCAATTCATGAAAACACTCAAATTAGTTCAAAGAAGGCCTCTTTGGCATCCAACACCGTAAGGGATGCCTATAACTATGTGCTCCCCACAGTGCATTACAAGTGAATTATTATAACCTAAAATTCTATTTGTGAACTTCAAAAACCTTACAAGAGTGCTCCAGGGTAGAATAAAAAGTACGTTCCATATAGGTTTTGGTTCTCTTCTATCTGCTTTTCATTTTCTCCCAGTGTTCCATTGACTACGTGTTCCTCACATAATCCAAAGATAAGTGTAGATAAAAAATGAATCACTTTAAGCATGGAGCCAGCTCTTTAAATAACACAGTTAAAAGAAAAGAACTGATACTCTAATGCGTCACTGTTAGTCATAAAATGCTCCAAGCACGTCACAAGTACAATCACTAGACTGCAATGAACTGTTGAAAGAGAAATTTGAGATCCTTGAGGCTGTGTGCTCCATCACGAAATGTTTAAAACCATTTCTTTGATTGAAACACTTTCTTTCAATGTAAAACTTTAGTTGTCTCTTATGAAGGAGTTTATCTGGTGTAGTATCCCTTAAATTTTTCCTTAAGAAATGTTAGCAATTTGATGTTTTTAGTGTCCTTTAGAAGTTGTTTCTGGTAAGCATCATAATATTATGTTGTTATAAGTAAAAGCAGCAAAATTTATCATATCCATAGAGCAGATGTCCTATAGGATGGCAACTACCGACATGTAGCTGTGACTATAAAATGTATGTATGACAAATTGCATGGCTGATGGGTTGCCTGGACAGGCAGCAGAGTGCCCAGTGGACAGTCTCTTTTTTCTAATGTTTTTATTGATTTTTTTTTTTTTTTGAGAGAGAGAGAGAGACAGAGAAACATTGATGTGAGGGAGAAGCATTGATTGGTTGCCTCCCATATGCACCCCGACCCCGGACGAAACCCTAACCTGGGCACGTACCCTGAGTGAGAATCAAACCGATGACCTTTCAGTGCACAAAATGATGCTCAACCAACTGAATCACACTGGCCAGGGCCCGGTGGACAGTCTTAAGCTGGCTAAGAGGACATCTGAGCTCTATTTCCTATACTGTCTGTTGCAAAATTAGGAATTATATTTACTCAAATGTCAATGTCAACTGAGTCCCTGCCTGGTACCTGGTGCAATCTAAGTAAATCCTAATCTTCCTAATTGCTAAGTAATCTAATGGTGCATTTCCCCATTCAGTGCTTACACCAAGACATATGGTTTGGGTTATCACTGAATATCCTTACTTTACAGACGGGGAAAACTTAGACACAGAGAAATGAAGGACGATGACTGAGGTCTTGTGACTAGCAGGCAGTAGTAGAACTGGAACTGGACCCGGGCCCAAGTCAAAATCTCCCAATAGTGATTCTGGATTTCTTCCCACTCTTGTTCTCAATGCTTAACAGATACCACATCGCTGTCTCCATCAAAATTACACCAAAATTAAATATCGAGTTGAATGGTCTATAAACTGCTTCTTGGACATGTAGAGTCTATAGACATATCAAGAGCATTGCTCTCAATTAGGGGCAACCCATGTGGTATGGAGTCCCCCCATCCTTGAGAAACAGAAACAGTCGTCACTCCATCTTTTCTGAAACTCACCACGTGAGGTTTAATTGGCTGCTAACATCAGTCAGTCTTTGGTTGTATTTTGCTCAAGTCATTGAAATTGTACTAAATTGCATTTATAAAATGAAGCCGTGACAGGCAGAATTTTAAAGGTTCACCCTGCCAAGATTCCTGTCTCCTGGGTATTCAATCAAGCACCAATTTAGGTACTGCTGAGAAGGCACTTTTGCAGATGTAATTAAGGTCTAATCAGCTGACCTGAAAGTAGAGAGATATCCTGGGTTATGTGGGTGGGCCCAGTCTAATCACAAGTCCTTAAATTCAGCAGAGGAAGGAGGAAGTGAGGTTCCAAATGTGGTGAGGATTTGCAGCACCATTGCCAGTGACGAGTGGTAAGGCCCATGTACTAGGACCGACGGGAGGTCTCTAGGAGCAAAAGGCAGCCCCAGCTGACAGCCAGCAAGGAAACAGGGAACTTGGGCTAACAACCTGACTGAATTTGGAAGCCATTTTTTCCCCAAGTGTTCAGTAAACAACACATCGCTTGATTTTAGCCCGAGACTTAATTTGGACTTCTCACCTACAAAAGTGGTGAGCTAGTAAAATGGATGTTATTTTAAGTCACTGTGTTTGTGGGAATTCATTTCAGTAGCCACAGAAAAGCGAACACAGGGGAGACAGTGTTAAAACTCAAGAAGACTGTGTCTGCTCTCACAACCAACAAAAACCAAGTGCAGCCATGAGAGGGATTCAGATTCAGTAGCAACGGAAGGAGGAGCAAGGCTTGGAGAAAGAGAACTATATCGAGACAGACCAAGGCTCATTTTCTGTGACTGCCGTGGGAGGTTTGCTGTGTTCTGGTTTTTAAGAGGAGAGGTTTGACTATGCTGAAGGCAAAGGTCAGCAGAAAGGGAGACGTAGAAGATACTGAGGGGAAAAGGACACAAGCTCTGAAGAGATGGAAGGGGATGGGGTGCAGAAACCAGGTGGAAGCATTGGTCTGGGAAAGGCGAAACCCATCTGCCTTTAAAAGGGAAGGAAGGAAGGAAGGAAGGATGAATCCCAAGATGAGCTGGGGAAACTGTCTGATGGCTTCTGCCATCATCTGAAGTCGGAGGTGTCGTCAGTGGCTGAGCGTGACAAAAAGGTGGAATCCCATGTTCCACGAGAGCGAAGGTTTGGCGTTGTTTCTGTGGACAATGGATGCAGTCACTTAGGGAAGCATAGAGTGATGGCCAGTGGCCAGGGCCCCAGGAGGTTGGAGCTCTTGAATGATTGCTGCCACGTCCACGGGGCTGGGAAGTTCTCTCTGGGGCTGATCAGCCAGAGGTGTGGGTCAAGGACGCAGGCAGTCTTTACCAGCAGGGGGGTTCTTTCCAGGCCGGTGCAGTGGTGTAAAGGAACAGAGGGCTGTGGAAATCTGTGATTGAGGTGACAGGCCCTGACTCTAAACTGGGTAAGAAAGGAGGTGAAAGCCATAGGGACCTGATGGGTTAGGAGGAGCAAGGGGCTCATTTCCCTCTTAGTTCTGATTGGCTGGGGAAGTCATACAAACCTTTCCCGGTGTGGTTCCACACACCATCAGCTTGTCCCGATGCCCACCTGACTGCCGCCACAGCGCAAAGTATTTGCCGTGCATTATCTCATGGAAAAATCATTTTAAAAACTCAGAAGTTTGTCCTTTTACTCTACTGATAAAGAAACTGCAACTTCGGGAGGTGAAGATATTTGTCCAAGTTCTGAGGACCAATTAGTTGTAGAGCCTGAACTCAGACAGTGGACATCTGATTGCACAGTGCATGCCCTTTGCCCTCAGGCCATGTTGTGGGTTCACACGACACAGTGTTAAGGTGCACATCAACACTTGATGATTAACTGGATGATGCATCCGTGAGTGATGACGAGGACCCTGCGTGACAAAAGGTTCCTGTCCAGGCCAGCACAGATTTGTTGGAAGTACCCTTCTTTTTCTTTTCCCAATCCTTTCGAGGAATTAGATACTAAATCCAGAAGTGTTGTACTCATGGAAAGTGAGCGGCAATTTCTGGACAGATGGTAAATGTAAGGTTTTATTGAGTGCTGCTTTTGCTGGAGAATCCTGACCTTCCCACCAAATGAAGTTTAATTGTGGAACATGTTTGGGGCATTTGTTATATGTTGTGAGGTTTGCGAGCTGGGTGTTGTAGAGGAGGAGGTAGTGATGTGTGAAGCAACTGAAGGGACGTATGTTAACATAATGTGAAATCATCAAGAGTCAGAGTAAATGTTATTAAAACAAACTGATGTATAGCTGGTTTTGATTTATTTTCAGTTGAGTCATTTTGTCAGAAGGTTCTTTATTCCCAAAGTGTGGTTCCCTCCTGGGAGCTTGTTAGAAATGCAGACTCCCAGGTCCCACCCCAGGCCTTCCTAATCAGAATCTGCACCTTCCCAGGCTTCCCAGTGACTCGTGTTAATACCATTGTTTCAGAAAATCTCCGCAGTTCATTCTGTCTATTCATTAACAAGTACCAACCAGTCTCAAGTTTATGAGAAATACTATCGTTAATTTATGAGAATTTTATGTCTGCTTACTCATAAGACAATTAATTGAACATCTGTCTTAAGCTGTATAGCCTCTTAAATTCTAAAACTCTTCCTAAAAGGGATAAAAATCTTGCCCAAAAAGATTTATGGGAAATGGATAGGAAAAGTCATTTGACAGTGGCCAAATTCAATGTCAAGGGTCTTAACTGGGACCCTGTCTGATAAAGGCTGATATGATTTCCAGCCAAGTACCAGCTCCTAACAGAACTATCAGTCTGAGCAGGGACACCAGCCTGGTCCATCCATCACAAAGGAAACTCAGACTGCTTAAAGTTCATGCACCATCAGCACACAGTGTTTGGATGTATTAGACTGCCTTCTCTTTGTGTGAGACCCCCTGACATTTACAAACCAAGGTGTTGACCATTAATCCAAGACTTTAAATCCAACCAACATCCAATGTGTTACTTTGCAATGATTTCTGAAACACCGTTCATGTGTATATGTGTTTGGGATTTTAGATCTTTGGATACTACTCCTCTGAAGACGATTCGCTTATTTCCCACATGGATGAAGAAAATTTGGTTTTCCTCATCTCTAGAAAACAGCGAGTTGTAATTTCAGGTGAAATTGTCAATTGTCCTTCCAAATTAATATGTTTTCATACTTTCTCAAAAACAAATATTGGGAATATAACATTCCCATGGACTCACCTTTCATTTCACTTACCTTATAAGTGACAGTTTCGTATGCACTATCAGAAGAAACTGTGCCTGCAGTTGAGTTTGAAATGTTGTCGTTGCTCTAACGAACACTGAACAGGGAATGTGAAGGCAGGGATCACATTTTACTGAGGAGGAACAGGTCTCAAGTTCAAGCTCCCCAATGATGCCTTATGAATGCACGTTCCAAATGGAATCACATTTCTTTTACAGTATCCTTACATTTGAATTCTCAAGTTTTCACTACTTAGATCTCCTTTCCACACTCCCATCCTTGACGGTCTCGTGGAGGTTTGACCCTACATGTGAAACTGTGTTTAGGCCCATCACAGAGGGGTGTTCCCGCATGTTGGAAAGTCTCCAGTTTGCAGGGAAGTTATTTTTCAGTGGGAGCCTGGGACCCAACAACTCCCATCCCTCTCAACTGCTGACCCTGTGGGTTTTCCTTCCTGTCTCCCTCCAGGGAGAGAGAGGTCCAAGCTTGATCTGCCCTGTTCTCTCACATTTCATCCCGAATTCTGAAATGAAGAGCCTTAGTCCAGGTCAAATCTGCTCTTCCTTTCAAAAGCACCTGAATTTATCTCAGTTCTTTGTGACTCAAGCCCACCCTTTGCCTCCAAGCCTTTCTCAGCCCAACCATGGGCCTCACCAGAGCCCAAACTCTAGCCACGGGGACTCTTCGCACAGAACAGAGCCAGGGGGCTGCCCCTGCTGCTGCCACCACCACTGAGCTGGCAGGAAGCAGGGGACCCGTGTTGCTGGCATCCTACATTAGAACTTTGAAAACATCTTTCTAAATGGCAGTTGAGTTCTGTAGTTTATTTATTCATTCAACAAACATGTGTTAAAAGTCAACACGTGGGCCAGGTAGCTCTCTAAGTGCCGAGGACACAGCAGTGAGCAAATAAGTGTAAATCCCTGAACTCATGAAATTCACATTCTAATGGGGAGAGATAGCCAATGAAAAACATTAAACAAGCAATATATGGTAGGTCAGATGGTATTAAGTGATACAGAAAAAATAAATGAAGTAAGCAGGTTGTGGAAGAAGTTGGTCTGGAGATGGGGACATGGTGCGGGATTTTAAATAGGTCGTCGGGGAAGACACGCTGGGAAGGCAGTAAAGACCTGGAGTTAGAGTCAACCATATGCTTCAGGTGGGGGGGGGGGACATCAGTGAGTGTGGGGACACATGTCTAGGGCCTTGTGGCCACGCTAAAGACTTGAGAAGCTTCAAGGGGGCTGCAGATAGAGGGACAGGCAGGATCTGAGTTATACTTTCAATGTTGATTCTGGCTTCTGTGTTGAATGTCGTCTACAGTGGAGAAGGGCTAGAAGCAGATAGGTTGGTGGTGTCTTGCATTAAGAATATGTTCTCAGTCTTTTTTCCATTATTGGTCCCCTAAGGAGCCCTTTAGACATTTTTCCTAATTGTGGGCCCCTTTCACCCAAAACCCCCTCCCAGCCCCCTTCCCCCACCCCACAGCACTATGTATCTGTTTTCGTACCATAGGTATACCTGTGTGTTACACACAAAAAGAGTAAGACTCGTTCACACACACCCCAAGTACCAATTTGCACCTTCATGGGGACAGTGTTTTCTCTTAAATAGTTGATTGCTTTTCTTTCTTTCTTTCTTTCTTTCTTTCTTTCTTTCTTTCTTTCTTTCTTTCTTTCTTTCTTTCTTTCTCACCTAACGAATGACTTTTAGGATCTTTACTGCTGAGAGTTGAACTGAATATCATGCCGTTAACAGGTAGCAGGAGACGGGATGTGATTAAATGCATTGTCAAGATCCCTCAGCTGGATTTGCTAATAGCAGCTTCTCAAAGAGGATTAATAACCGTCTTCAATAACCAGGTACTTTCAAGTCTCGGACTCCTCCTGCCCTCCCCCTTCCTTCCTCTCCTCTTCCCTCCCTGCCTTCCTTCCTTGAAATTTAACTGCATTTAGCACTGTTCCTGGTGTACCACACGAACCATGTGGCATCGGCATAATTAAAGGATGACCTTGGATGATTTCTCAGAAAAAGTCACAAGCCCAGTGATTTTGTCATAGTTCTACCAAATAATGAAAGGTAAAAAAAAAAAAAAAATCCTTAGAGTAAAAGTGAGGATCAAATTCCAGCCCTTTTATTAGCTATGATGTTAAGTAGGGAACTTAAGGAGCCAATATATTTTTCAGATCTCTTTTTTTTCATCCTTACCCAAGGATATTTTTCTATTTATCTTCAGATAGGGTGGAAGGAAAGAGAGAGAAACATTGATGTGAGAGGGACACATCGACTGTTTGCCTCCCGCATGGCCCCAACCAGGGCCAGGGACCAACCGCAACGGAGGTACGAGCCCTTGACCGGAATCAAACCCGAGACTCTTTCGTCCAAGGGCCGACACTCTAACCACTGAGCCACACTGGCCAGGGCATTATTTTTTACATCTGTAAAATGAAGACAGTGGGACCAGTGCTCTTTCCCCCCAGAGGACTCAGTGAAGGTCAAATGAGAGATGATGATGAGGAATCACTTTATCAACAGTCAATCCCTGTAGAAGCGAAACGTCTTGCCCTGATTGCTGTCACTCCTTTCTAAATTGATAAGTTTTGGACTTCTATGTTTAAAATATGAAATAATGGAGACATAGTATATATAGCATTTCACTATGAAAATACAAGGTGAATGTTTGGTGTTAAATATCAAAAAATAATTCCAATTACTAGTTTATTTCCAACTAGAGGCAAGCTGTATACAAGTAAAATATGTTAAAATAATCATCATATGATTAAAATGTCAACAATAACTGTCAGCCCTTCAGTGATCTTTATTACAGGCAACTGGATTTGGTGAGGAGGGGCCTCCTGCACCCAGAGGCCCTGCAGGAGAGATTCTGAGTGGGGGGTGGGACCTGGCTCCCCGCCCAGCTGTGCAGGTTACCTGTTTATCTCCATGTTCTGGTTCCTCCACATTCAGAACCAGACAACTTCCCTTCCTCGGCAGTGGTGCTGATTCAATAAGCTCATACACAAGAAGTGCTCAGTTCGCATGATCGTGAGCATTTGGTGAACGTTGGCAACCAGGCTTACGAACCAACGATATGAAAACGAAATGAGAACGTCTCTCCTGATCTCTTTTTTCAGTGCATTATTTTGCTTCTCATTTTTTACCTTTATTGCCTCAAAAATAGAACTAATATGATGTCTAAATAAAAATGTGAGAAGTTAAATAATGAGCTTCGTGGTGAAATAGTCCAGGGTTATGTGGAGTAAGTGAGGTGGCGTCATATTTGCAGAAATGTGTGTATCACTCACACTCACTCATGCTTACAGGTGACACATGTCCACTCACATGCACACAGACACATCTGTGTCCTAGAAGATACTGTAATTGGAGGGAAAACATTGCTTAAACAATCCCTCTCAGATTTGATACACCAGGAGTAAATATAGCATTTTAAATGCGGCATGCCTTACAGGCGCGATGACACATTCTATGAGAATAGTAATTTGGTAGGTTAAGTCACAGGAATCATTTATTAAAAGGTTGCCGATAATGCAAAACATTTTACCACAGCTTAATCCATAATTTAGGCTCTATCTGAAGTCAAATAAATACATTTAAGGATTTTCTTGGTGCTCTCCAGAGGGCTTGGTAAGCTCGAGTTTAAACGTCATTAATAAAAATTCCTGCCAAAAAGGCTAGATTTTAAAAATTCAGAAGATAAACTGTTAAAGAAGATAAGAGAACTTTAGAGACTTCCCCTGAGGATGCAGTTAGAGAAACTGAGTAGGAGAAACCTTAGGTGTTCTGTTTTCTGCTCACCAATTTCCTTAGAAATGTGTCCATCTAGAATAAGTCCCTGGCAGGAAGTGAAAGACACATTGCGATGACCACAGCTAACAGTTTCAGTGATCGCCCTGACTCACTTTTTCCCTTTTCACATAATCCATTTTTTCTGGGCAGCCACTTCCTACATATTTGAGCATTGAAAAGAAACCAGGTCACCCGGCTGGTATGGTGCATGGGTTGAGCGCCAACTCATGCTCCAAGAGGTCATCGATTTGATGCCCAGGCTGTGGGCCCAATCCCCAGTGGGGGGGCATGCAGGACGCAGCCAATCAGTGTTCTCTCTCATTGATGCTTCTATCTCTCTCTCCCTCTCCTTTCCTCTCTCTCTAAAAATAAATAAATTTATTTATTTATTTTTATTTTTTTATCCTTACCCGAGGACACTTTTTCATTCTTTGTTCAGATAGAGCAGGAGGGAGAGAGAGAGAGAGAGAAACATCGATGTGAAAGGGACACATCGAGTGGCTGCCACCCGCACCACCAACCAGGGTCGGGGACAAACTGCAACCGAGGTACATGCCCTTAGAGGGAACCAAACCCGGGTCTCTCCAGACCGCAGGCCAACGCTCTAACCGCTGAGCCAAACCGGCCAGGGCAATAAATTTATTTTTTTTTAAAAACAGGTCACTAATATACTTCAACTAAACAATTAATTAACATGCCTTAAGGGTATAAGAGACTGCTTGTGTACATTCTAGCTCTGTATGGAACAAATCTATGATCCTCAACTGTTTTAGTACAGAGTGTTCTTCAGTCTCTCAATAACTTGAGAGATAAATGTCAAACAAAGCAATGTTTTCTTCTGCATCAATCTATATTTACATCAACCCACGTAGCATTCTTTTCATTACTCTTGCCATTGCTGTATTATTTTGCAGTCCCAATTTTTTATTTGCTCTGAATAACTAAAGAACGTGAGGCAGTTGGCAAAATAGAAAGAACTAGTCAAGTGTAAGACTCTGAGAGCACAGTCACCAGGCTTAACGACAAACCTTGGCCGAAGCAGGTAGGGCATATTCCACAGAGCTAGAACCTTCAGAGAGGGAGAAACAGGGAGGAGGCTGGCGGGAGAGGAACTGACAGGGGAGATTAAAACCAGGGCATAGCCCTGGCCGGTTTGCTCAGCGGTTAGAGCATCAGCCTGCAGTCCAGAGAGACCTGGGTTCGGTTCCTGCTAAGGGCAAGTACCTCGGTTGTGGTTTGTCCTCGGCCCTGGTTGGCCGTGCAGGTGGCAACCACTCAATGTGTCCCTTTCACGTGGTTGTTTCTCTCTCTCTCTCTCTCTCTCCCCCTCCTACTCTATCTGAACAGAAAATGGAAAAATGTCCTCGGGTGAGGATTAAAAAAAAAATTTTTTTTTAATAAGTAAATAAAGCAAGCCAGGGAATATTGTGCTGTTTACAAGTCAGCATTTTCACCTTTAATTATAGAGCCAACTAGGTTTCATTTTTCTCTCCCTCTGTCTATAGATGAGAATCCAGACCAGCACCAATGTCACAGTAAGTGCATTTTACAAAATCCTAATGATGTCAAAGTCAGGGCGCTGATGATGTTTCCTCGGTAACTAATCACAATCTCAGAAATGCTCTGAGAATAAGAAACTCCCACAGATTGTAAATGTAGGTCCACTGACCAAAACCAAACCTTGAGCAGAAGCCAGGGGTACCCCGGTCTTGCTTTGTGGAGCTCCGCTGACGGCAGAGACGTACTTGAACACTGATCCCTCCGGGAAGCTTCCATCGAAAGCGTCACCTAAGCTCTTCGGAGCACCCACTACTCAGGAATGTACAACGTGGGCACAGCCCAGATTGTGAGAACAACGACAAGGACGTAGCCAGTAGGAAGAGTTTTCAAGCATTTTATTTTAAACTTGAAAACCGCGTACCACTCTGAGTGCAGGGTTGGAATTGATGCAGTCCACACTGCTGACTGTAAAAGTGACCCAGAAGCAGACACAAAGCTACAGTGCTCGCCCCCAGAGTCCCGCCACGCCTTTGTGAGACCCGGAGGTGGTGCCGGTCCTCCTGCCTGCTGCACCCGGTGCGCTGAACCACCACGGAGGGCGCCAGGCCCTCGGGCGCGGGGTCTGCTTTCTCTCTAGGCCTCTGGGCCTCTGTTTCTGAAACTGTTAGGATTCCCAGTGTGTTTTACAGAAGGTGCAAGGGCAGGCCTGAAACACACCCAGCAGTTCCCGGATCCCACCAAGGGGAGCTGGTTTTTTGCTCAGTTGCATGCTGTCCTGGGTATTTCTGATCCTCCCTGTGCCAACTTGGTGACTTCAGGCAAGACACAGACCAACTCTTTGGTCTCAACTTGATCATTGACCAGTATCACTGAGGTCGTTTCTAGCTAAAAACGGTAAGCATGGCTACAGGGCCGAGACGGGGACCAATCTAGTCTCCCCGTGTGTCCCTGTGAAGAAGGTAGTCACCTAGGTGAACAGGGCACAGCTGCCATGTGCCTCCAGACCTGTGACAGGCACTCACTCCACCGACCCCCTGCCGACAGCACCCAGAATCTCAGGGCCAGGGTGAGAGGGAAAACAGTGAGAGCCTCTCCCACGACATCACAGGACAGACATTGGGAGGCCCCTCTGCAAATGAGGGGCAAAATGGGGCTTTCCGTGGAACTAACGTTGTTTAGTAACCATCACTACAGGACAGGACAAAACATAGTGTATGCCGCCCTCCGATTCTGTGCTTTTCTATCAGGACACCTCCTGGATTACAGGCTGCGATTACCTGTCACAGTTGAAACGAATCGTTGCCACCACAGAAAGGACCATTATAGTCTGGGATTATAAAGCTCAAGGGAGCAGCCAGGTACTGTATCCAGAGAAATACTTACAGAAATGAGATCGTCTTGTCCATGCTGGTAGGAAGTGAGCAATATCACTTTCCTTACATGTCAAAGGGGGACTTTTAACTAAATAATCAAGTTCGGCATTAATATTGCTATTAATAGGTTTCCACTTTGTGTCTATTTAACTTGGGTATATTGTGTGTGTTTGTTTGTTTGTTTGTTTAATAGCAAGGGGCTAATTCCTTCCTTCCTTTTATAGCCTGCTCTGCATCCAAGTATTAGCTTTTTGCCTATGCTCATTTATTCAAGCTTTTCTCTCTAGCCCAGCTTCGTTTGGTAAGAAAATTACTCAAATCAAATGCCTAGTTCTGGCAAAAAATCTAGGGGGGCAGATGTTAATGTTAACCCCTTCAGTGGCTGAGAGCTTACCACTTAACCAGTTCACAGTATTGAGCATTTGCAGACATATGGAAGTAATGAACACACTCCCTGCTCTCAAACAAAATTCGGTCTTGAAGGATCTCATGAAGAAATATAATGGATAATATATTGATACAGAAAAGAATAGAGTCACAAGAACCATGAATGGCAAGGATCTAAAATGGTGCCCTTGGGAAGCTAGCTGACTGGAAAAACATGGAGGATTAAGAAATACTTTAAGTCCGGCTGGTGTGGCTCACTGGTTGAGCGTCGACCCATGCACCAGGAGGTCACTGGTTCGATTCCCAGTCAGGGCACATGCCCAGGTTGTGGGCCCGATTCCCAGTGGGGAGCATGCAGGAGGCAGCCAATTGATGTTTCTATCTCTTTCTCCCTTTCCCTTGATCTCTCTAAAATCAATAAAGAAAAAATATTTTATTAAAAAAGAAATACTTTAAGCTCCCTTCGTGCTATACTTGTCCCTAGTCTTGGTGGAAAAGCGAACTTCTCATGCTTGTCCACAGTGTTGTAGCCAGCTAGGGACACCAGAATGACTTCCAAGAAGGCAGGTGGTTGTTAATGTGCTTTATTATAGGAGGTGTCCCTCTCCTCTGTCCTGCAGCTTCATGGCAACCTCGTGTCCTTCCAGTTCTCTCTTGTTTTCCCAAGTATGTTTTCCCACTGATTTTAAGAGAGAGTGGAAAGAAGGGAGGGAGAGAAAGAGAGAGAGAGAGAGAGAGCGCTCACATTGATTCATTGCCTCCCGCACCACCCAGGCCTGATAGAACCTGCAACCAGGTTGCGCTCTTGACCAGGAATCAAACCCGAGACCCTTTGGTCCACAAGCTGAAGCTCTAACCACTGAGGAACTGGCTAGGGCTTCCCTCTTGTTTTTCTTCCACTCCTCAGCACCTCCCTCTTCCTTCTTTTCCTTCTCCTCCGTGCTCCTGAGCGGATCAGCTGGTTGAAGTCATCCTCACCCCTCATTCTCTTAAGTGTTTCTCCTTCAAGACTCTTGTCCTGGGCAGATGCGATGGCCCTTCTCGGGCCCTTCACGGCTGAGCACTGCTGGAGAAAACCGCAGAGCCACACTGGTTGGCATCACCCCAGATTCGGGGTCTGCAGACTCATCTGAGGGCTCAGTGGCTTCTATGCATCTCTTTCCTGCCCTCGCCTGCCCACTTCCCGTTGCTGGCAAGTACCCCAGATGCCTCTGTTCTTCTCAGGCCCTCTCCTCCCTTCTCCCAGCTGAGCTCGCCCCTGTTGTGCTGAGAAAACTGAATCTGTGAGGCTTGTTCCTTGTCAAATTCCAGCCCTCTCCCCTGCACCGTTAACTAGAAACACACCCCTACTTGCTATTTGCTTTCTCTGTTCCTTCCTCTTGCTGAAGGCAAAATATCATTGTACATGACACCCTCGTCACCTCCTGCCTGGTCCAGAAAAAAATCTCCAAAGCCTTTGCCCTCGAGATATATATATATATATATATAAATAATCATTAATCTCTCCTTCCTCCTAACCTCCTCTGAGTCAGGTCTCAGCTCAAAGGTCACCTTCCCCGTCCATTGGACCTGCAGAGGTCTCTTCAGTCTCTCTTCAATACAGCACTGTGGTTTATTGACTTACCTGCACTTCCCACGCTGTGTACTGATCTGTTTCATTCATCTGCCTCCCGCACTACAATGGTAGCTCTACAAAGGCTGGAACTTGTCTTGTTTATCACTGTATGGCCAGTGCCTATAACAGTTCTTGGCGTGTCATAGGTATTTGTTGAGTGATGGAATGAATCTCTAAATATGTTCAACTCACTCATTCTAAAGGGAACACAACAGATTAAAAAATTGAAATATGTGTTTTTTTCTGCCTCAGGTGGGGACTGAGTGTCAGGAGCCCAGGACCGCAGCTCCGTCAGCTTCACAATCGCTGGCTGATATTTCTGGATAAACTTGGGTGTTAGGATATGTTTCTCCTGATAACTCTTTGTGAATTAATTGGGACTTGGATACTTGATTTTCCTGTTTTCCAAGTTTATGCCGATTGTCTTTTGACACCTGAACCTTTTTATGCTTCCTGTTAATAGCACCTTACAAATCCAAAAAGGGACAGTCACATGATGGCACCCCAAAGGGACAGTCACATGATGGCACCCCAAAATCTCATCCCTACTGAGCCAGAGGGTGGCTCCTCACTCTTTTCTCCACAAATCAGCCTAAAACGCAACCTCGGGCTTGCAGGGAGTGTTCATGAATTTTACTTGGTTAACTGTGTTTGTTTTTTGTTTTTTTTCAAGCTCCTTTAACACTGTTAAAAGATCTAAAATAAGAAATATCAGAAGCAAAACTTTTATCAAACAGTAAGGACAATATTTAAATTTAATGTTTAGGTATTTAGAGCACCGTGCTCACTTGTTGACAGTGGTCTTCTGCTTCCAGGAAAACTATTTCGTCATAAAGCCGATGGACCACTGTCTCCTCTGTGTGTGTGTCGTGCCCCTGTCCGACCAGCTCTGCCGGGATGACATCCTCCTGGGGGACGACGGCGGTTTTGTGAACAAATTCACGGTGCATAGTGACGACTTCGGGTTAAAGCAGGCAAAAACCAAGAAAAAGTTACAAAGCCAGGTCCTAGACTCTAAGGACTTTCATAGGCAAGTGTATTGCATGGGTAGTCCAGTTGTTTTAGTATAGACATTGCTCAAGTATTTATATAGTAAAAACAATGAACTGTTTTCATATAGACATCATTCGAGTATTTATAGAGGAAAAACAGTGTGTCAGACCCCGTGGTAATGATTTGAGACATAAAACTGAACAAGAAATGCCTGTTACCTCAGGAACTTCCAATGCGAAGGGAAAACAGACGGGAAAATTAGCAACTAAAATTCTTATTCTAAAGTGCTTTTGGCAGTTAAAAATCTATAGATACTTAAATAAATTAAAGAGTTAAAATTAAATTATGAGAAACGATAGAAGATAAATGCAACTATTTGCTAACATTTAAATATGAAAAAAGATTCTAAACAAAAGCAGATATAATGTTCAAAGAAAAAGTTTCATAGATTTGAATCTACACAAAATGAAACCTCTGGGCACCAAAAGATAACTTTTTTTTTTTTTTGTGATACGTGCCCCTCGCGGGAACTGAACCTTGGACTCTCTGGTCCTCAGGCTGATGCTCAACCATTGAGCCAAACTGGCCAGGGCAAAAGATAACATTTTTAAAGTAAATAAACTGGAATAAATATTTATAACCAATATGACAGACAATAGTTTAATACTCTTTCATAAGTATTAGAATTCAGTTAAAGAAATAATAATTCCCCCAGAGAAAAGTGGGCAAAGATCATTAACAGGTAATTCACACACAATACAAATAGTCAAGAAACATTTCCAAGTGCTTATCGGGCAAAAATGCCAGCAACGATCGTCTCCAACTGATAAGGTCACAAGTGATTTTTATTGTCTTCTTTATAACTATAGTATCTCTGAAGATTTTAGAGTAAGGCATATATTTCTTTTATTAGCAGAAAAACAAACTTTGTATTAAATGTGTCTTCTGTATTGATCAAAGAAAAACCACTTAAAATTGGATATAATTTCTCACTTATAAAATTGAAAAAGACTGAAAATGAGGACGATGCTGAGAGATGGGCATCCTCACACCCTGCGGGTGGTGAAGTTATGAGCTGGGTCCCTTTGTGGAAAACACTCGGGCAGATGCATCAAGAGTCCTAATAAACATTCACGCATTGGGACCTGGGGTCCCCGAGTGTTGACAGATGTATCTGTCACTGTGTTATTTCTAATAGTAAAAAATCTAGTGTCCAACAATAGGGGAATGATTCATTTAAATGATCAGTATTTATAATACTAGAAAATATAAAAATGAATGGACTCATGTAAGCTATGAAACACAGTTTTCATTTGGATGACCAGAATATTTTTCAGTAAAGGAGATAATACCGATATTGGACTGAGATTCTTCTATATTATTTTTTAAATTCTGAATCTATACCTCAAAATGTGTTGATAATCTTTTATCTTTTCATTTTAAAGAAATTAGGTCATGAAAATTTAGCTAAACAGTTAAAAGTGGTATAATGCATAGGGTGGTATTATATATGCAGGCTTTACCCCTGTTCAGAGTGGCAATTTGATTAAAGAAAAGTTGAAATGACAAACAGACACTCAACATGATGTGTCTGTGTGTCTAACATAATCCCTCTTTATTTTTTTTCTTTACATTTCCAGTGTTAAAAGGAAGCTACATAATGACTGGGTTATGAAAATCAAATATATTTCAACCCTGAATTGCTTTGGATCCTGCTCCTTAGACAGTGTCCACTCGTTGGTTTTGGAATCCTTGAAAAGACTTGAGGATAATTCGTGAGTACAATAGTTTATATACATGAATATTCTGTGACTTTCAGGCTTTTTATTTTTATTTATTTCAAAGTATAAGAGAACGATTTTCTGGCAAGTTACAGAGGTAGTAGAAGGGAGCCAGCTGGGCTGCATAGGCTCAGGAGACAAGTTCCAGAGGCAAAAGAATGGCCCTTGGAGCTTAGGAGAGAGAAAGGCGAAGGGCAGGCTGGGGGTGGGGGGAGAAGAGAACCCAGCGGGGGTGCTCCTGAGAGGGTGAGTGCGCATGCGCGTCAGACTTCCTATCATTGATAAGCCGGCAGCCTTGGCGCCATCAAATTGTTTTCCAGAAAAACCAGTTGTTCATTATTCCATTTGTTTGACAAGATTCGATTTGCGGGAGGAAATTGAACTTATTTGTGCGAATCTTAACATGACGGGTGCTCCTGGCAGCAATTTTGCTCGTTGGTTGATTGTTGCTATAATCGATTGGAATAAATCAATGCAGGTGTATCCATAACTGCACTTCCCAAATACAGTCCTATTGGTGAAACGACATAGTTTTAAAATCCGTGTACTTTAAAGATCATTCTTGCACGTCAGCTGGCTAAGCAGAGCCCGAGAGGACGTGCGGGACAATCGTCACGTGAGGCACACACGGTGGCTTTCCTGGAGACAGGTGACTGTGGATAACTTCTTAATCACTATGCACGTACAGCAACTCTATGTTAATGGTTATGTTAATGCAGTAATAGTATGTTAATATATAGTAACTATAAAACGGTTACTGTATTTGGAGTTTCCGTTTTAAAAAAATTCATTCAGATATAGGTTCCAATGTGGATAAACCTCAAAGACCTTATGCTAAGTGACAGAAGCCAGACACCAAAGACTGCGTGTTAGATGATCCCATTTATATAAAATGTCCAGAAAAGGCGAGTTCGTAGAAACAGGAGGTAGATCGGTGGATGCCAAGACGAGGTGGTGGCAGCAGGGGTCCCAAGTGGGCTAAGGGAATACTCTGGGGCGATGAAAATGTTCCCAAACTTATCGCAGTGGTTGTTATACAACTCTGTAAGTTTGCTAAAACCAACTGAATTGCATACTTACATTTTGTGAATTTTATTGTATATAAATTATACCTCAATAAAGCCTTCCCTGAAAAATGCATTGAGACTTCCAGTTTGGCCTTAAGGAGTTTGGAAGTCATCACTCGGTCCTAACCGCAATGGACACATATTTTCCCTTATTTAGATAAAGATGAAAATGTTTATCTTAGTGTGTAACATATGGCACTGAGAGATGTACTACAAACTTTTCACAGCACTTTAAAAACAGATTCGTTTCTTAACACTAGCTCTGAGTCCACAGATACCATTTCTGTGGCATAAACAATAGCTTCTGTAACATAATAACTGCTAGTGACGACACGATGGCATTTTAAAGGACTGCATTTTTGAACATTTAAGAAATAAATGTGACTTTGTTTCTAATTTGATTGTATACTATGTTGAAATTCATTTACAACCATAAAGAAATGTTGTGAAAGTATGTGCAAATATAATATGCTCTTGTGATCCTATTGAAGATATATATTGTACTTCAACAACCAGAAAAGGGGTTTTCATTTCCAAGATACACAAATGTACAACCATACTGTTAGCAGCACAGATACCTCCAGGGCACTCACGAGGGTAATTCCGACAGTCAGTATGTCAACCAGAGAACTATACAGGTCACGTAGTTCAGCCCTTAACCCAAAAGTGTATCAATCATTCAACAAATATTCACTGAGTCACTATATGTTAAGCACTGTGGACAATACAAATATGTTTAAGTCATGACCCCTGTTTTCTCATGTTTAACAGCTAAGTGGGAGACAAAAAATACAAACATAAAATCACCGGTCCTCTGGAGCCAGCTCGTATCAGCTCGTAAGAGTCGATTACTAAGATTTCAGGAATTTGGTCAACTTATTGTTAAACACTGCCATCACTAAAAAGTAAATTGTGTAAGCTCACAATTATATATATAATATATATAATAGCAAATAGCAAATATGATAAACCACTGGACACTCCCCACCCCCGCTTACCATCCACCACAGCATAGGATAATTCTCATTGCAAAGCTGAGCGTGCTGAAGGCCAGTTGAGTGGTGTCGGATTCTAGGCATAATAGGGGTTCAGAAAAGGGAGTAATAAATTCTTGTCCTCTAGTAGGTCTATAGAGATGAAAACAAGAAGTTTTATATGGGGGACATGTAAATAAATTTGTTAGTGATTTCATTAAAGAAGAAAAGTTGCAGCAGCAACAATAAACATGCCGAGTCAGCTTTTGGAGAAATGAAGAGGCTTATTTCTTCCTTCTTAAAGGTACCTTGACATGGCTGTGTGTAGTTGCCTATTACCAATCTGGCATTACCAGTTAGTCTGAATGATATTGACAGGTCCTAACTTCCGGTACCTAGAACTTTTCTCCGGAACTCCATTATCCCTCTCTGTCTGACCTTCGCGTCTGACCTTATCAGCCCTTGAATGTTCTAACCCCCACTGCACCTTCTTGCTGACCTCGCTGAGGCTTCTGATACCTTCTCTCCATCAGCTCTCTCCTTGACCTTCTCCCCCCCTCGCCACCTGGACCCAGGTAAATCATTTGAGTTCGTATCTCACCAACATTCTTCATTGCCTTATATTCCTGTCTGCCCACTGCATCAATCAGCAAAATCCCAGCCCTTCTGCTCAGCAGAGCCCTTACGCTCAGCCTTTCAATCCTTTTACACACCTTTGATCTACTCCCTCTCCATTCCCCTACTTCAGCTCCTCTCACTATCCACTGATGCCCTGTCCTCCTACACGACTCCAAACTCTAAGGATTCAGGAGCGATTCCCCAACACCTCTGGTCTTTCAGAACTTTCTGTATCTACACCCATGTGCAAGTCTCTTCTTTCCGTTTCACAAGTTGAGGTTTCAAATCCTCCGTTGGTGACCTTACACTTAACTCCTTCTCTAGGATTTCCTATCGCAGTTTCTCCCACCTTCTCATTTTCAACCCACAAGGCTCAAGTTTGTTCTGATTTGAGTAATGTGTTTCTTAACCTACATTCCAATCTCCTTTGAACTATTATACTACACCTCTTCCAAAAATAGTACTGTGGATTCACTATCTCCACTCCCTGGACATTATCAATTCCCTCTGTAACCCTCCCGTAGATAGTCTCTCCCCCTCTGGCTCTCTAGAAAGGACTCTCAAGTTGGTCAATGTCCGCATGGTCAAATCAATGGACACTTACATCAGATAGCCTCAGAGCATTCAAAATTACTGATCTCACCCACTCTGAAATTCTACTCTCTTGGCTTTGGGGAAGCCAGGGTTTTCTCCTGGTGTCTTTCTATTTATTCTTTTTCCTTGTGATTCTTCTTTTTGTATCTGCTCTTAAATGGTGTTGTTCTTTAGAATTCTGTACTTAGCCAATGTTAATTCTCACTTTCTATGCAAGTCTTGGATAATGTTCCTCTTCTCCAACATAATAATACTTATATGCTGATGAAACCCAAGCTATCATGAACTTTGCATATACATATACCTGCTCACCATCTCCTCTTGTATATCTATGTCATAACCCTTCCAACTCATCTGTGCATAACTGGACTTAACTTTCCCACCTATTAATCCACACCTTTTATAGCATTTTTAATTTTTTTTGGTGGCACCATGATCCATCAACTCACCCTAAACAGAAATCTGGCAACCCCACATAATTCCTTCCTTTCCCTCAACCCCCACAAACCATCAAGCATTTAGTTTGTCTGTTCAACCTTATAAACTCTTGTTGAATCTTTATCTTTATCTCTATTTTCCTAGGCTCTTAACTCCAACTAGTCTCTTGCCTCAATTTTATTCCTGCCAAAACTATTGTTTATTAATCTTCCAGAGTACTCTTAGGAAGAAGATATCCAGCCATCTCAAAACCTTTCACATTTCTCTGTCCCTTCCACAGCACTTCCATAATCTGCCTTTGGGGACTTCTCCCCTCATCGTCCTCATGCTCTTCACTGCCTTGTACTTAAGTTCTGATTTCTCTGAACTTTTTTTCACTCCCTGGGTATCCCACACTGGGACTTTATACATGTTCGCTGCTGAAATACGCTCCCTGTTCTTCTCTTCCTCCAACCTTCTTTAGGGGTGTGGGGAAGGTTTTTATTTTAAACTCTATTTTCATTGAGGTATAACTTACCCCATAATCGTTTAAGGATTAGATGAAGCCAATTCTAGGGAGTTTTCCGCCTTTCCCCAACACCTCTTCCCTAACTGGGTTAGATACCCTTAATATGCCTCAGTCTTTGTATTCACTGCATTTTAATTACATTTAAGGACATGTCTTTCCAAGAGACTAAGCTTGTTCAGAGTTATTTAATATATCCAACACTCTTTCTGATTGCCCTATAATTTGAACAAAACTACAGGGAAGACTTCAAAAGAAGCTGTAGAGCAGCAGTTTGAATATTCATTTGTTTAGAAAATACTTATTGATTCATTCATATGTTTGAGGCACTGTCCTTGGTGCTGGGAATTTAAAAATAAATAAGGCTATCCTGACAGGACTGGGGTCCAGTGTGGAAAGCCTCTTGTCTTAGAAAATGGGGAGCAAAAAAAGGGGGGGTAGGTCCTTGATCTTTTGTCTAAAGAGAGAGAAAACAGATTTTCAGAGAGGGTGTTAAGTGTCATGATACAGATCAGATGGTTGATGGGAGCAGGGGAGAGTTCTCAGCACATTGTAATGTAGGATTGTAGGGGGAGAAAAATTGGGAAGCTTTCTAAAGAACGTGCCGTGCATACTGAGTCAGGAAGAAAAAAGCAGTTGAGTGTGAGTGGAGTGGATAAATAACCTCATTAAACAAATGGCGTTTATAAAGGTATAAAAGGGAAAAAAGAAGATGATGAGTTCTAGGAACCGTAAGTGGTTCAATGTGATTGGAGCACGGAGAGGGGGAAGGTTGGGGAAATGGGGCTGGACACAGCA